AATGGTCTTCAAAGCATAACTCATATCATACATGCCTATCTGATGCAAATCATTTTCAAGTTATGACGATGCAGTGTAAAATTGTCATAATTTTTTTGAAATGAACGCACGACAAAATTGTCGGCAATAAATCAAGTGTTGTTGATAGGAATTTGATTAAGAAATAAACGAAAGTCTAAAATTATTATTAAACTCAATGATGATTCTATCAGAACATGCATGCATAACGGATATCCAGAGTCCAATAGGAACAATTCCGATAATACCGTGAAAGCCGCAGCGATTTTGGATTTGTTCAAAATACGACAAGTATGTGCAGTCGAAGCAAATATTGCTGACTGATATAAGTATTTGGGCTGGTGGTAACCAATAAAATAGGTGCTGATGCGACAGACTCATGAAACACTGCTCTACTCGTAGCATCATGCAATTTTTTTCGCAGCACGTCGTTTCACATCGTACGTCCATTGAAGATTCCAACAGAGTGTGTTCAGTGAACGTCCTAACAGCTCCATCTGAAATGAGCGAAGAATATCGTTGGAGCTGATCAAATTGAGGAAAACGAATGGCTAGACTAATGAACTTAGGATGGGTTAACCTTCGCCTCAAGTTGATCACAAGCCAGTGATGTATGCTGCGCATCCGGAAAGCCGATATTTGGTAAGTGGTGACGTCTGTATCGTTTGAAAATTTTCAATGCCTAAATTTCAGAAAATTAAACGCATTCCTCTGATTGTAAGATAAAACTGCCGTAATAATGAAGTTGTTATTTCCCTTGATAATGCTCATCATAAAGTTCATCGATCCGCGCATAATCCGCGAGATTGGGCGGGGATCAGTTGAAGTGAGGGAATTGGTTAATGTCTCAGAGGTTTACTCTAGAATTCACTTGTATTCCTCTAGAAGCTGTGTTTTGACAGTAGTGTTAAGGATGAAACGTGAGCGAAAGTTTAGCACAAAATTACATCATTTCTTGCCTAGAGCAAACGATTAAAACCATCAAATTCTTGGATGTTTTTCATCAGATATTCCACTGAGTGATATGTATCCAATCAACTCAGCAGAATTACTGAAAATAGAAATTTTCTTCCTCGAACAGCAACAATTCAACGGGATGGTTTACCTTCGAGCCCAAATGATCAAGAGCCTCGTAATCGTTTGATTGATTTTTTGGATCACTTCGGAGGGCTTCGAATTCTGACATTACCAACATCACGAACATATTCAGCAGAACAATTTTACCAAACATAATAAATCCAATATACATAATCAGTCCTGCAAAAATCATTCGACTCCTTCAAAACACATTCGAGATTGGTTTCGCTACTGAATTTATTCCGAGAAGCCGATTTATATGGGGGGCATAAATGAGTTCGGGCATGTTTTTCCCATGGTCGTAATTATTAGACTTTATTAGAGGTATTTGGAAGCATCAAAGAAGCGCAAATTAGATTGGCTTTTACATGAGCATGTTTCATATATGCATTTAGATATGCAAAATTTGT